AACTTTCATCGATCTATCTTAAAACGGTCTCTCGACAATTACCATTAAAACGAAATTGATATTTCTAATACACAAATGTTATTATATTTTTAATTACTGGTCGGTAACACTCACGGGAGATTTTAAAATAACTTTGATTGGTCATTCTTTATTAAAATATAATAACTACCTATCTATGTGTTGAAAAATATAATATGTAACTATCATTATCTATAAAATAATAATTATTAATCTATGTGTATAAAAATATAATAAACTCTGTGTGTTTTCTTGGAGAGAAAATAAGAATAGAAGCATACATTTTGTTGACGTTAAACCTCGACGTCATCCTACGTTGCACGTGGTACGCGTCATCGCTTATTCACGCAGATCGCACGCGTGTTGTTGCGCGCGAACTGTTCGAATAATGGCATCCATTACAACTTTGCTCTTCCTTCTTAATCTACAAATATTTTTCCATTTTGCTAATCATCCAAAAAATTAAACTAAAGAAGAATAGAAAAAAGAGAACGTTTCAATAAATGGAAAACGGAAAATTTTATATCGAATAATGAGATCTTAAAATATTAAAGGACGAACCTAGGAGTCATCGAACGCTTTCATTCATGATTCTCACTTGACTATATATCTTAAACATCGAGTTGCTCAATGAAACTCAGGATCTCAAACTTAAGTCAAACCACCATAGGATTATTGAGAACGAAAGGAGTAATCAAAATAATTGGTTTACAAGTTTTCACAGAAATGGGAATCAAAGTTGTTTAGGATGGTGGGTAAATAGATAAATAAATATCTGTTCCTGACGTACAATGCTCTTTCACACGTCGAGTGCGAATTTCTTTTTGTTTTAATTCAGAGAAAAACCTACGTGGCGGAAAATCCAAATCCGTAGAATTCGTACGAATTCATTCACTGATCCTTCCTTTCAGTCGATCCCTCCTCTCTGCGATCTTCTGCGACTCTCTCCCCCTCGGCGAAACAGCTAAAAGGACTCGCGTAACGCGAGGAGGAGAGGAAAGGAGGCGAAACATCCATCAGCGGGTCGTTCACACGCAGGATCGCATGGAGCATGAACCCGAAGTCCGGGCTGCGTCGGCGTCGGCGTCGACGTTTCACGATATGGCGGCTAGGTTGGTGTCGCGGCGCCTCGCGTCAACGTCAGCGTCGCTAGAACCGTCGACGACCGAGGCAACAGTGGTGGCCAACGCGTCGCGTATGCCTGTGATCCGCCATATTGGCCGCGAGCAACCCGTTTAGACTGCGCGCGCGCGAGAGAGAGAGAGAGAAAGAGAGAGAGCGAGAGTCTGCTCTCTCGCGAACCTTCGCCCAAGATTCGACCGTGAGGGTGAGAAACGAGGGCGTGTAACACGGAAAGAGCGTGTGTGCTCGCGCGATCGCAGGTGTATGTGTGTGCGCGCGCGCGCGAGTAGGACGAGGAAAACGAAAGAAAGGGGCTGGCGACGAAGGTGGTGGAGGAAGACGGCCCGAGATACGCCTCGAACCTGCCTGCGCGAACGCCGCATAGGGTGAAACAGAGTGAAAGACAGGAACAAACGGAGAGAGAGAGAGAGAGAGAGTGAGGAGGGAAGAGAGAGACTGGAAGGAAGTGTGCTCCGGTGATAGTGGCTGGGAAAGTGTCAGCGCAAAAAGTATCCCCCGTGCTTGGGGCTGGATCGGTGACTACGACCGTAGTACCACCCTTGGCCTACATCCCTTCGTTTCGAACGACTCGCTGACCCTGTTTCCATTTTCTCTCGTTTCCAACGAGCTTGAGTCATCGGCCGCCACCTCCACCACGATCGTGACCGATCGTCGCGCGTCGACAACTCCGATCGACCCCCCCGCCTGATGTAACCCCTCAATTTCCGCGGCGTTCGCGAAGTTCCGTGACGTCGCGACATCGCGAGCCATCCAGCGGCCGCCACTTGCCGATACCACGTTTGCATGTTTGCGGTCACGCTCGATCGTCGAGAGTGAGATCCCACGGAACGCGTGCGCGCGAGAGAGAGAGAGAGAGAGAGAGAAGAGATTGGAGAGGAAAGTTCCGGGATGGTAATTGTTCCGGTTCGGAAACGACGCGACTCGCGAGAATCTCGAGGTGGAAGATAAAGCAGGTTAGCTGGTCGGTGTCCAGCGTGACAACGTCGTGGGCTCGTCTCTCCCTCTGGTCTTCCGACTTCTGCCAATCAATAACCAGCGCACCCGACTCGTTCACGCTCTGCTCTCTACCTTCCTCTCCCTTCTCTCTCTCTCTCTCTCCCTCTCTCTCTCTTTCGTTCTATCCGTTTCCCTCGTTACCGTTCACCGTTCCAACTTCCCTCTCCCTGTCTCTCGCGGCTCACTCGAGATACCGAACGATACCGAACAAACACGGAACGAAACGTGGGTCGTCGAGTCCACGGTAGGGGCTGAAAAAAATTGTCCCGATGTATTATTATTGAGAGGCTGGTTCGTTTGGTCGGTGATGCCTTCCCGTTTCCCTCTTCCGTCCGATTCGCGCCGTTCCTCTCTGTCCCCGTGCGCTGCCGCCGCCTCCCTCGTTTCTTTTCCCCTTGCTTCCGCTTGCTCTTCCTAGCTTTTACCGCCCTTTTCAGCGGCTACGCGGTGAGAGAGAGAACAAGCCAGCAAACTACTACTCCCCAGCGTCTGTCTGTGTCTCCTCCGCTTGTCCCTCTGCTGTCGATCCTCCTCTTCGATTCGAACGGGAACCAGCGACGACGGGCGGAACGGAAACGGGCACAGCGAGCGATCGGTGACGACA